TTTTGCCAACAGCCTATTAGTACTTATAGTTTAAATGAGCCAATTAAAATAAAATAATATAGAGAGACTATCTTGTTTTTTATAAGCTTAAGACTATAATATGATTAATAAATTTCAAGGACATTTCCCTTTCCAAGAAAGGTTTCTTGTTTTCCTAAAGTGATGCATTGGAACATATGACTTTTAAAATAAACATGCTGGTGTTCAGTTTCCGCTTTTTCTAACCCCTCTTTAAATCCCAGATTGTTGCCTCTTCCACGCTCCATCTAAATATCAGAGTCTCTAAAATCACATGGAAGTACGTACATCAGTATCGAAGACTGTGGGAAGTACTTTTTTGTATTCTAAATATACTTTTGATTTTAGCTGTGACAAGCTCCTCAGTGATAAATTTGTGTTCTTTAACATTGACGTCAGTGTTTGGCAAACAGAAACAAGTCATTCAAGGAAATATCTGCCTGCTTACTACTCTGGTATGTTCAGAACAGTGCATCCAGTTTTTAACTCTTGAGAGCAAGCACCATCTTTGGTTTTGCTCAACATTGTTTCCTCTGTAGTGCAGGGTTTTCCAGCCTTGGAACTACTGAAATTTTGGAATAGATAACCCTTCGTTGTTGGGGGCTGCCTGCACATTGTGTTCAGCAATACTGACTCTACAACACCGAGTTTCACTTTGAAGTTTGGTCCTTCTTTTCTTTTGCTGCTATAGCCATGTGGCTTTGAAATTGGGGCAAAATGCTCCTCAGGGCTACTTTATTAGAAAAATATTAATTAAAAATTCCTAGTTTTATCTTTTTAAAAAAAAATCAAATTTATGAGTTTCTGGGTTGCCTAACATGATAGCCACTAGCCACACTGGCAATTTCCATTTTAATTTTACTGAACAAAAATTAAATAAAATGAGACATTCAGTTTTTCAGTCACCCTAAGTCACATTTCAAGAGCTCCATAGCCACATGTCTAGTAGCTACAAGGAGACAGTGCAGTCAGAACATTTCCACCATCTCAGACAGTTCTGCTAGTTACAGTGGTTCTAGAATGGGGTTGGCAAACCATGACCTAGGACTCCCTCTAACCCCCTTCCCCCACTTGCTTTGTAAATAAAATTTTCTTGAAATACAGCCAAAGGTCTCCATGTTGTCTATGGTTGTTTTTTGGCTATAACAACAGAATTGAGTAGTTGGAATACAGACCATATGACTCACAGAGCCTGAAATTCTTTCTAGGCCTTTGTAGAAAAAGATTGTGACCCCCACCCCCACCCCCCGTAGAGTATACCTGTTCATAAAGTTGAGGTTGTACAACGTAGTTGTTATGTGTGAGCACATGTTAGTAGTGTAACAGGTTATCTGAGCCAGGTTATCAAATTCAAAGATTTGAGCGGGGTCAGAAGAACATCAAGAACAGAGTTATCAGGCCAAACCTCTGAATTACTAGCTGAGGACAGTTGTACCCTTTGTAGGGGCAACTAGAATGCATGTCCTTCTGGGAGATCAGATTCTTTCCAAAACTGAGAGCATTAAAGACTATCAGGCAAGACAACATGCAAACAGGCAGTCTACTCGGTGGGCTGCACAACGGGCAGAATTAGTCCACAGTTGCCACGAGGCCCTTCTGTGCTGCTGGCCCATTGTCACTCCTGGGCCACAGCCTGGCTGGGAGTATGTGATGGAATCTACAAAGGAATGAGGACAGTTAGAAAATTCAGAGTGAAATAGGGGGACGTTTATCTGTTAGACCTAAAAACCTTTCAATTAAGTCTTTCAATTTGGACTTAAACAGGAATTTATTCAAAAGTGTTTATTTCATTAATAAAGTAACTACTTTCCAATTTTTGATTGATTGGCTCATTTAGTATTTTTATGGTCTTTTATCTTGTGGAATAGCTAAGGAATTTAGTCTCTTAGATAACAAGTAAAATACTTAAATTTGTTTTTAGCATTTTACATATAATTTTTTTAAATAATGTTTTATACCATGTAGTTTTTCCATTTTGATGGGACATGAGCTTACTTTGTCTGTGTGTCTTGGGCTGATAGTTTTTTTAATGGAGGCTAAATCATGATGTATAAGTTATATCCCAGACAAATTTGTCTTTGAAGATTCTGTTAAATGCTGATTTTTTAAAATGTATTTTTAGTTAGTTGATTTTAAGTTGTAAATTATAATGCAATCTAATGAAAGTAAGTGTTTGACATTGGCCTGATAGAACTGGCTTTGCGGCTCTCTCTTTGTTACTTCCCCAGGTTAAAGCTAGCAGTTTCTTAGTCAAGTGCCCTTGCTTCTGTGGCCAGGGCTTCGGTGAGTGCCTTATAAAGGCTGACCTTCACTAGAGCCAGATTATAAGGTGGCAGGGAGAGCTAAATTTAGAGGGAAAGCAAGCCTCTGCTCCAAATAGTAACAGCTAAACGATAGAGACTTCTGGTGAACAGAATATCTTCATTTAGTCTTTCAATACCAGTAGGTCAGTCTCTGTGTTTGTTTTAATTTTTGGTGTGTACATCAAAATCTTCCCATCTTTTTTATGTTTACAAGTTATTGTGTTATTTTCCTCAATATATTGAGGGTGCAATGCCATATAATTAGGCTATGAAGAAACAAATGTTTGTGTTTAGAATCTAACAATTTTTAAAATGGAGTAATTCCCTCATAGGTAGGCTGTGTAGGGGTAATTCTCCATTGTCAGCAAAATAGAAACAAAGTACAAAGGTAGAGTTAATTGGGGGATCCCAGTTGTTTATATTCTGGATCCTAAAATACAACTTTTAGAGAGGGCTCATACTTTTAAAATATTTTTTATTCCAAAATATAAACATCCTTGGCAAAGTGTAACTCCTTCCTTGTAGGTTTACCTACTTGAGGAGTTTCAGGCTAGTTGTTCTTTATTTTTCCTATTTTTGTTTTTGCATCTCTGGTGTGAGATCCCAGCTCTGTAACAGATATTCTTGTTTACTAACACAAGAAAGCATTTTATATAAAAATGTGTTGTTTAAGGGGAGGTGTGGATACAAGGAGAATACATGCACACACACACATGTCTGCGTACACACATGTGTTTATATGTATTACTTGTTCCTCGATGAAGTGCTTGCTGATCCAGAGTAAATCCACTGAAAATGCCAAGAGGGAAATTTCTGAATGAAAGAGTTTAGCAGTGAGTATAAATAATGCATTAGAAGCTCCATTTCCAACATCTATCAAATGAAATGAGATTTCATCAATTACATTTATAACTATTTAAAGCCTCGTGGCTGCCGCATCCACATACAGCAATCAATCACTTTCTCGGCCTTATTCTGGGACGGTCTACTGTTTTCCCACCTATTTCATTGCATTGTAAATGTTGAGATTTTATCTCCAGAGTCTCTCTGCTTTTTTGAGGGCATGGAATCTGCCTTAGTCACCTTTATTTTGCAAAGCAAGATGGATTAAGTTCACTTTATAGGATTGATAAAAGTCATCTTTATTTAAGCCATATTACTGTTTTCGTTTGTTACCTTATTTTAAATTAGTTTCATTTTTTTAAGTTATGATTAAAGTTTTCAATGATAAACAGATTGCTTTCTATGTGAAAATAGAAGTTTCTCTTCTTTAGTGGGTTTGAAGAAAGCTTTTGTAATAAATTGAATAATTTTTCATGCTTAAGGATTTTTTTAAAACTTTGAGACATAAATAATTTACTTGAATAGTACAAATTTTCTTGATTGTTTATAATGATGTAAGTATTGGAGAAAATCTGGACATTTTCAAATCACAATTTTTAAACACTTTGAAAGATAATTAAATAATTTGCTTGATATCTTAATTGTTAGTTCTCATAATTTAAGTGATATATTTTCAGATTGTAATATTTATGGCAGCAAACTTATTTTTTGCTTTTTTCAAAGCTAATTGAGTATATTTTTTTAGTTGTGTATTAAATCCAATAAGATAATATAGAATTCCCAAATCTCTGCCCTGTGAGGTAAACAAATACAAGACTTTTAGCAGTTTTTGATATCTTTTTGATGTTTTGCTTGCATAGAAAAGTAGAATATATATATCACCATTTTAACCAAAAAATTCTGTTTTACACTCTTATTCCACTTGTTTTTTTCCATTAGCAATGCCTTGGCACAGGTCATTTGACAATGTCAGTGTCACAGCTTATGGGACATTATTTATTAAATCTTACTCTTTACTCGGCATTATTTTAGGTGCTAAAGACACACTATAGAGTAAACCCATGAAGTCCCTACCTGCATGGAGGTTACACCCTCGAGGGAGAAATAGACCAGAGGCAAACAGACATGATAAAATGTCAGGGCCTGCTTAGCGCCATGGAGAGAAGGAAGCCTCACTGCACAGGATGCGTTTGATTGGGTGTAGAGAGAAAACCAAGGGAATGACCGGGATAGCATCCTTCCCAGAAGAGAGGTGACCACGCTGGCACATTGGAAGGAGAAAGGGCAGTGTGGCTGGAGCACAGTGAGTGATGGGAAGAGAGGTAGATGTAGGAAACATACTCGGAAAGGTACCAGGGCTAATTCCTTCATTTGTAAAGCATCATGAAATTCCATTTGATGGCTTATTATAACTTGTTTAACCAGCCTCATGAGCATTAAGTTCCCATTTCTTTATGCATCGAGCAATGCTCAACTGAATTCTTTCTATACACACACTCACAAAATATATTTACATATTTGTGTGGGTGTAAATTCCTAGTACAGAAATTGCTGGAACACAGGTTGTACACATGTAAATATTTATATGTATTCAACAAATGCTGCCCAGTAGTATTGCATGGAGTGTCTCCCTTATGCCAAAGTTCATGCCTGAGGTTGTTTCCCTTATGTCTTTTGTCAACATTAGATATTATTAAACTTTAAAACTTTTGCTAATTCAGTAGTTAAAATTATCTCATTTTTTAAAAGTATATTCAATATGGGTGAGATTAAACATATGCTTATTCGTCCCATTATGCTTATTAGGACCATTTTTATATGAACTACCTGATTGAATTACATAATCTTTATTTTCTTTGTTTTCAGAAATTTTATGAATAAGCATCAGAAGCCAGTGCTAACAGGCCAGCGGTTCAAAACTCGGAAAAGGGGTAGGTTGTGTTGTGTGTTTGTGTGTGTGTGTGTGTGTGGGCGGGAGCGGGGGGTGGCGGCATGTATATGTGTAGGTGTGCTTAAAGTTCCAATCAAAATATAAAAGTAGGGAAGATTTAGAATTATATCCTTGTTTCCAGCTAACCCTACTAATTCCTGTCTTTTGAACTCTGGGTGGAGAATCTGAAGGTCTGAGATCCAGCCTTAGAATTGCCAGTCACTTAGGTGTTTGATTTTGGACAAGTCATCTAACTTGGCTGAGCTCTGTGTCGTTATCTACAAAATGAGGATAATTATATCTGGTCAGGTTGCCTCACTCTCAAGTGAAGAAAATTAACTTTAGTGTTTTCACATCCTCATTTGTATTTGTTTTTTGCTTTCTTTGTTATTTTTTAAAAAGTATAAATAGCAAGGATGCTACCACTAAAAGAAAAGTAAGTTTTTTTAGTTTTTACCTTTTCAGAACTTAGGAAGTTAAATTAAACTTACTGCCCTAAATATCTTTAAAACTCGGCATAGTTTCAAGGATCTTTTCTTGTGGGAAGAGTAGTTTGAGGATGACTGATGAAATTTTTACTTACATGCCTCACTGCGCCTTTTTTATGTTATGTTCATCTTAACCTTCTTTCTGTGTAAAGATTATTTATAAGTGTTTATATTTAATCAGTTTTGCATATTTATGTAGAGATCCTCTTGGATTTAAGAATAATTGAGCTGATACTTGATAGAGAAACTTTTTAAAATACGAAACAAATGAAATTATTGTGTTGACTAACCCTGAGGAAAGTGACTGACAATATTTAAGGAAGCATCATGTACAAAGATAAATGATGGCTGAATATCTTCCTGATTATGAAGCATCATGCCGTTTAGTGGTTATCAGGTGCTACCCTGTTGAATTGATTACCCAGAATGTATGCCTTTGGCGTGTTCCATTGAGGTGTTGAGGCAGCACCTGCTGCTGATGTCCCCTTGCAGTGCTGTGTCTGGGTTAGGATAAATCGAGTCATTTAGGAAGTAAAGAAGTCTCAGTACTATTCGTCAATTGGATAAAAAGTGCTTCCAAGAGTCACTAGGTTGCTCTAAGGCTGAATTTAACTGTAAATGCTGCCCCCTGGAAAGCTTCACGCTCCCACTAAACAATGAAAATTTAAAAATGTTTAAAGTAACCAAATGGTTATTTTGTACAGTATTTCTGTTTGCACTCTTCTTTTTTCAATGTGTTTTATTGTTGTTTGTGTGTTTGTTTTTTAATCACTGGCTCATCCCCATAAACTGTCAAAGCAAAAGCATAGCCTGAGCCACCGCCCTCTACTGAGTCCACTAACAAAGTGATTTCCTCATTAAAGTCTGGAAACCGGTACCAAGAAGAGGCACTACAACCAACATGCATTTGTTGTCTGACGGTTTAAAGTAGCCTTGGGCGGATGGGACTATAAAAGTCATCATAGTTAATTTCAAAAGGGCTTCATAGTTAAGGAACAATATAGTCCAGAAACCTAATTACAGTTAAGGTGTTGTTGGGCCTGGTAATGTGATAATATTTAATATATGCCCTACTGTGAGGTGCAGAAAGGTTTGCCACGTCCTGCCCACAGAGGAACCGTGTTAATCTCAGACTGGATCTCCAGCTCTAGCAGCTTTATTAGTGACGCCGATTCACACACGGTAACAGCACCAAAGGCAAGAGCCGGCCCAAGAATGTGTTGCACAACAGCAGACATGATTCCACAAGCAAGCTGGTCTTGCAGTCTTTTAAACCGGAAAGGTCCTCTGATTCTGAGCTGGTCTGCCTCTGATTCACTCGGTGGGCGAGATCGTGCCTGAGCCTTATTGCTGCTGGAGCACTCAGAGCCCCGCAGTCTATTGTATATCGTTGCTCAGTTGGTCTGGATTTATAGGCTCAGGTCTGTCGGAGATTTAAGCAGCACTTGAGCCATTTCGTGCCAGACTGCTGACAGGAGAAAAATAGAGTCAACCTCATTTTATATTTTTTGTAATAGTGAATTGCCTCCTGACGATTTATAGTGCTCTGGCTTTTCTGTTGCTATTATGACGGGGCCGCCTTCAGATAAATGGTTGGCAGTTTTGTTAAGCTGAGGAAAAATCTACTGAGGCTGTTTCAAGGTCATTTTGATAGGCTGTCTTCTGAAAATCTGTCTTCCATTTGAAATTAGTTCCTGGCAAAGCTAATGCTCTTCCATGTACAAGTTGGTACCAAAAAAATGTATTTCTTTTTACTGAACATCAAAATTCAACATTATGGCAGGACGCATCATATAGAGCTCCTTTCAGACTGTCTTTTCCTGTATGAAATATGCATAACTAATTTTCTCCAAAGAAGTTATGTTTTCCATTGTGGTTTGTGGGAATCTAAAAAGATGAAAATTTCTCCTCTGAACCACTGTTATGCTTAGCTAAATGAAATATTTAATGAGAGAAATGACCTCCCTGAAAATTTTGTAGAGAAATTGGATTAAAATGAATGAAAATAGGAAAAGAAATAAATGACCCAATTGCAGGCATCCGGAGTGACCACAATCTGAGGTTTTTCCCTGAGACTTTACACCTGTGCTAGGTGTACATTACTCAGCCTTACAATAAGTAGTGGGAGCAACTAATCAAGTAAAGCTTTAAATGTGCAAATATATATGTGTGTGTGTATGGTTAGAAAATTCATGACAGTTATTCACTTACTGTATACCTCAGTGACTTTCAGAGAGGAATGTAGGTTATGTTGTTTATCACTTAATTATCAACAGGTTGAAAAAATGCTATATTAACCAGTTACCATAATTCCCAGAGAAAGCAATGCATCTAGATAACTAACAGGCATATTTGAGTGTCAGAAATAGGCTCGTTTCTCCATGTCAGCTTAAGGGTTATTCTGATTAACTCCTCCGTGTCTCACTTGTGATTCACCACCAACATAGTAGAAATTTGAGGCCCTAATTATATGTTCCCACTTGGAGGGAGATTTGACCTGCCAAATGGAAACTCAAGGAAGCAATGGCATATTTTTGTTAGGATTTGTTAGCCTGTCCTCAAATTAAATATGTAATACACTACTATCTCAGATGGAAAAGACCCTTTTGGTAAATGTCTTATTTCCTCAAACTTCCATCCATGCTCTTGCCATGCTCCTGTACAAGAAGTTTGTATTCCTCTGCATGGACACTTATCTTAGCAGGTAGGAATTTGTTTTCCAGTCTACAAAAGAATTATTAATCCCATCATGCCTCATGACTTTTCAAGATTCCCAAGCTGTAAGTGATCATTTTGACCTAATTACTTGCTGTTGAGAATCTCTGGCCATGGTATGCTATCTTCCTCCTCTTGCTTTTCCTCTTCCTTGGCAAATCTTTTGGAAAATATAACTGGAGGATGAAAGCTTCTTACAAAAAGCTTTTCAGTTGTCTCTTAGATTCAAAACAAAGTCCTCAGCATGAATTCGTAGCATCGTCTGGGTTTTACCTTATTAACCAACTTATATTTTCCAATGCCTTGAATTTATAATTTTTGATCATCAGAGTCTATTCTGCCACCTGAGTCAACATCCTCGTAGGTTGGGTGTCATTGTAGGGATGGCCTCAATGGATTTTGGAAGCTGGTCATAAGACTTCATGAGCAGCCCGTGGTCTTTGGGCTTCTTTATTTCTTGTGATCTTTGCTGCTCATGCTCTCATATTTCAGCAAAAGAGACCTTTTCTCCATGAGGAGAGGAAAATTACCCTTTAGCTGGACCCTGAGTAAGGGATGCAGTTTTCTTTCCTTGCCCATGAATTCCACTTACTCAGAGTCAGTTAGTAATCCACCCACTACTCCAGCACCTCACAATCTGCCTCTAGAGTTCCCATTCTCTCCCTTCCCGTTTAAAAAATTATATTTTTTTCTGTAGTCAATATTTGCACGTTCTTAGTTGCATAATGTTTTGCTTATAGCATCAAAAGGACCTTTATTTCTTGTTCATGAGGAATATTATTCAAGTTCATTTACATCTGACTATGATATCTTACACTGCTTGAAGCTGACTGGTACTGGGAATGCCATTCTTCTCTGGTTCTGAGGCTGTGGTGTTAACCCCTTATGAAACCAGTAAATCTCTGAACACAAACCACTAGGAATTCTAACATTATTATATTGAAGGAATTTTACATTATGCTATTGAAAAACGCTCTCCCAGCCTTCTTCTTTATTTTGTTTTTTATATATAGTCTTCTTTCTTTTTAGGTGCTTTTCCCTGGATCTTTTTTTTCTTTTTCTGTCTCAGATAAAACAAAATTTTAAGTTTTGAATGTTATACTCTATTTTTTCTCAGATAGTTAGGGTTAGTGAATTACATTGGCCCATTCTATGAATGAAACAAATGATCAATCATCATTGTTTTATGTATTAGTGTTACAAATTTTTGTGCCCTTTAAAAACAGAAATAAATTGCTTGAATAAGTGTTTGAACAAGGGGTTTTAGAACGTAGAAATCTAGTAGAAAAACTTAATTGCACTTGAATTTTGAAATACAATATCAAACATAGTATGGTTGCATTTGGGAATATAATAAGTAAATAAAGGAATAATTTTATAACCTTTTTTTTTTATCTTAGATGAAAAAGAGAAATTCGAACCCACAGTCTTCAGGGATACACTTGTCCAGGGGCTTAATGAAGCTGGTGATGACCTTGAAGCTGTAGCCAAATTTCTGGACTCTACAGGCTCAAGACTAGATTATCGTCGCTATGCAGACACACTCTTCGATATCCTGGTAGCTGGCAGTATGCTTGGTAAGCCTTGCATTATAGCATCTTCTTGTAGTGTATCTACTTTTAATTCTATTGAAATATTTTTTTACAACATAGAATTTTTTTAAGTTTACATTTGTGGGAGTCTCACCAATTTTTATCTAGATTACAATTTGGAATAGTATTAATGTGGCTGTGAAATGATTAGTAATTAAAAAAGGCATAGAATTGAGGCTTTTTGTTGACATTAAAAATAGCTTTAGATAGAAGCCAACTTTCCCATGTGTTCCTAATCCTTAAATGTTTCTGGAGCATTTAACACAGGAAGAATAATTTCTGCAGTATTTTAGAACTTTGTATATGTCATCTAGATCCTTCCAGTATGTTTATTTAACCCCCATTACCGTGCCAACTTTTCTTTTGAGCCCACTTTTTTTGGGGGTGGGGGGTGCAGTAAAATATAACTGTCAACAAATTTCAAAAATAATTGCTAGTGTTTCTCTAAATGCCATTCATCCATAAATAAAATATCAAAGAAATATAGTTTAAATCTAGTTTTTAAAACATCTTTATAACTGAGTTTATAGCTAAAAGGATTAAAGAGAGATTTTGAAAGTATTAAAGATTAGTAGAAAAGGAAAATAAAAACTTACCTAATAGAGCAGAGGCATCAGGGAAGAAGGCTGCAGAAGACTATTTTAGTAACGTAGTGTCTTTATCTAAATGTTTATTAGGTATCATAACCACCCTTTGTTTCTTTCATAGTTATTCTTAGTAAGAACTTCGTTTTAATCATTGGTTTCTGTAGTAGCCATAAATCACTGGAGTGGTCAAATTTCCTAGGCCAGCGATTTTCAACTGCCATAGGAACATTTGCAGATGTGTGGAAGTGATTTGGTTGCTATGTAGACTTAGGAGTGGAGGTCTTGTATGCTAGACTACTTTACCATACAAAGGACAGTTAATACAATGAAAAATTGCCCTGCCCTACCCACTGTAGTGCCTTTCATTGAGAAACACTGCTTAAGCCAGCCTACTGTAAGACAAGTATATACATTTCTCCATTCTGAAGTAGACTCACCCTTTAATTTCTCCCTCTGAGCTCATGTATTTATTACAGTATTTGCCCCATTTACTGCAGGCCCCTTTTTGATCTGTACTGATGGTGTTCACTGCATAACAAATTAATTTTGTTGTTATTGTGTATAAATTATCTCATCATCACTGTAGGTAATTCAAGTCCACACATAAAAGCTGCTATAGGTAGTGTGTTCAAACCCAGAGGTGACAATTTTTAATATTTTGCTTAATTCCCTTCCTACCTAATACACAAACTTTTGAGAATGGGTTAGTACACAAATATGATACAGTATATGTTATTTTGTATTTACTCTGCAATATGTTATTGCCTTTTATGTCCATGAGTGTTATTTTGGATGATTCTAAAGAGAATTAAAACCCTACTGATTTTTAAGAATATTCAACTCCTTTCCAACTTTCATTATTATAAACAACAATGTAATCAGTATCTGTTTACACATATTTGTGCTTTTATTTGGTCATATCTTTATGTACTTAGCAAGGGATTAATGAATTGATGGATGGAAATATCTATGTCTGTCTATGTCTATCAGTCTCTCTGAGAGAGAGAAAATTAGCCCAAAAAGGAATGTCAATGTTTTATCAAAAATCATATGTTCCTAGCCCTGGCCAGGCAGCTCCGTTGGTTGGAGCATTGTCTTGATGTGCCAAGGTTGCAGTTTCAATCCCCCATCAGGGCACATACAAGAATCAACCAATGAATGCATAAATGGGTGGAACAGCAAATCAATAAATGAGAAAAATCCTGTGTTCCTATTTACCTACACCTTTAGCAATGTTAGGTGCTCTCAATTTTGTCAGGTTCTTGGATTTTTGTCGGGTAAGTGATACATATTTTCATGTAAGAGTTTTAAATTAATTATGAAGCTGGATATTTTCTGATATGATTATTGTTTTTTTGTGTTTCATTCATTGTGATATACTTTTATTGACACACTGGTAAATTCCATGCAAAAACAGTCTTCAGCAAAGTTTGGTTCTTGCCAAAGTGACACATGACTTCATTAGTCAATGATATGGACGCTTTTCCGGTCTCTGCGCCTCCTGGCAGCATCATTGACCCTTTGTTGTGCTTGAAATGTTTTATGTTTTTCCCTTACATGAACCATTTAGACTTTCTCCAACATCTGGTTGTCACTTCTTACATGACTCCTGGGTTTCTGTACTTACTCTCCCCACATATGTATTAAATTATCTGTATGCTTTTCATTGATCATCTCAATGCTTCATTTACCATGTGTATAATGATAATCAGCAAATTTACATCTGCAGGCCAGGGTTCACTCCTTCATGCCTCATCCATACATCCGAGGAGAGGGTAGAGCACAATATTTGAAACAACTGTGAGCACAGGCCATACACCCCTGGATGTCTACTGACGCCAGACCTATGATATAGTGACTGAAGCCAGTCTGGTGCATTCTTTTTATATAAACACTTTGCTTACTTATCAACTATGTGAGAATTTTCTTCCCACCCGCAAAAGTATTTACCTTCTCCCATTGTTCTTAAAGCAACATTTCCTTGGTATGTCAATTCTACCCTTTGAAGAATAGTATAAGGAATAGCTCACTGGTTTGACTTCTACTTTGAGAAAAACAGCAAGCTTACCAAAATTTTTAGAAATAGCAATTAATACTTGGTCCCAATATCAGGGAAAATAATATTTAATGTTGCAATATTAATGTGTAACAAATGTTTTGTAAAAGAATGCAATTTAAAAAATTGCCACTTAAAAAAAAAGACTGTAGTTTCAAAATCAGGCATTTCTGTTATGTAACTTCCACCAGGTTGGAATTATTAGTGCAGGATTGTTGGGAGATTATCATCTTAATAAAATGTTGGTCCAGGTGGTTGAATTCATTACAGAGAGCTAATTAAATCTTATGCATAATTATTTGAGTGAAAATAGACTCTTGAAGAAGCTGACTTTTCTAAAAACTAATTTACTTATAAAACTGTATGCTGAGGTTAAGAAAAAGTTGGCTTTGGCTATGTGTAGACCTTTCCATCCAAAGATTTGAAATCACAAATTAAATCAAGGCATTTATACACTTAAACAAAGTTGTGGTACAAGTATGTAATCTATAAATATTTGTTGAGTGTATAAAAGATAGTAATCTAACTTGGCTTACTCAAACATTCTACTCTAATTAAAATGAAGTAGAATCAGGAAACAGAAATACCTGCTGTTCCCCTTCTGTTCTTCTAATCAACCCATGTTTTAATGGCCACAATTAAAACTTGCAGGGGGAGACGTGCACTGTGGAAAGTTGAGTCGTAGAAAAATGGCATTCTTTTGTTCTAGTCCATTTATTTTATGACACCATATCAGCCATGGGAAAAAGAAGATGAGAGGAAATAAAGCACACTCTTGCCTTGCCAATGTAGCTGCAGAGTGACCAATACAAATGGCAAGGAGTTAGAGTATGCACTGCCCAACCCTGCATGGAAAACTGGATTAGTGGAGGAGGGAACAGTTTTATTACCTACTCCAGTGGAAACCAACAAGACCTATACTATAAAAGTCAGGTGTGGTCAATGCCAGTGTTGGTGAACTACAGTCCGACGAAATATTATCAAGAGTGAAAAGTGAACAGTGTCCTGATATGGGAAACATCAGGAATTGCATTGAGAACAATTAAGTTCAGTGAATAAATATTATTGCGTAGCTGCCATGATTAAGGATATAGTTGGGAAAGACCATACTTATAGTGATAGAATCTAGTGTTGTTCAAGAATGTAGAACAACAATCTCATATAAGTGGTGGGAGTTTAAAATGGAGCAACCAGTTTGCATTGTATTAGAGCAGTGGTTCTCAACCTCCCTAATGCTGCGACCCTTTAATACAGTTCCTCATGTTGTGGTGACCCCCAACCATAAAATTATTTTCGTTGCTACTTCATAACTGTAATTTTGCTACTGTTATGAAGCGTAATGTAAATATCTGATATGCAGGATGTATTTTCATTGTTACAAATTGAACATAATTAAAGCATAGTGACTAATCACAAAAACAATATGTAATTATCTATGTGTTTTCCGATGGTCTTAGACGACCCCTGTGAAAGGGTCGTTTGACCCCCAAAGGGGTCGCAACCCACAGGTTGAGAACCGCTGGTTTAGAGGAACATAAACAAATAGGTAAGAACACTTGTATTCCTCTACATGCATATCACTCTATGAAATGTTATGTTACTCTTAGAGTTGACATCTACGTTTATTGTTTCCCTCGAGATGCAGGGTTGATCTGTTCTGCCCATTACCTTTCTCTTTTTTAGCCCCTGGAGGGACACGCATAGATGATGGTGACAAGACCAAGATGACCAACCACTGTGTGTTTTCAGCAAAAGAAGATCATGAAACCATCCGAAACCATGCTCAGGTAGAGCCTATCGTGTTTTGTTAGAAGGGAAACATTTGAACAGGATTCAGGGAAATATTAGGTTCAGGGATTCTACAGGCCACTTTTTAAATAGGAATAGTTTATAGCTTATAACATGGAGAGATACTCAGTTGTTGTAATGGGCATCAAAATATTATGAAGGTCGAGATTTATACCTTTCACCTGTAAGGGAGGTGGAGAATTGAATAGTCATATATTTTCTAGTGAGAGTATAAATTAGACCAACGTTTAAGGAGAGCAATTGGTAGTATTTTTCAAAACTAAAACTATATATTTTTTTGACCCAGGAATTCCACTTCTAGTATGCATACAGTGTTAATTATCATAGTGTTGCTTATAAAATCTCAAGGGATTAAAAACAGTGTAATAGTGGACCAATAGAGTATAATTAAGTAAAGTTTGGTAATTCATACTAAGAGACTATCATGTACCTGTTAGAAAAGGAAGAGTAAGAAGATACTTGTGATACATAAAACCTATTAAGGATTCATATCCAGATTAAATAAGGAACTGCAAGTCAGTAAGAAAAAGATAAGCAACCTATTAGGAAAAGACACCTAGGCATTTCAAAGAAGAGGAAATACAATTCCCCCAAAAAAACAGATGAAGACAAATTCATTGAAATTATGAAATATCCTTCTGCATTCATTAGGTTGGTGAAAAAGTTAAGTCTTTAGGCCCTAGTGAGGGTCAGGAAGTGTCAAGAATGTAAGAAACAACATTATCGTCTAAAGCTGAAGACAGCATGATTAGCCACTTAGAATCGGTGTGTTCCTATTCTGATTCTACCTTGGACCCTTCTTAAAGATCACTTCTTATTCCCAACTGTATGTTGTGGTTGAGACCAAGATCACCCAAGTCTTGTTATACACATTTCAATATATTCATGAAAAAGGCCATAGGACTTACTGACAACTAAGTGACTGGATTTCAGATGCTAGAAACTGTCTTCACTTTGGTTATTAAAATGTGAAAGGCATGCTAAGCCAACTAATATGAGATATGTGGCCACTAAGAATTTTAACTTAAAAAATTATTCCAATTACATGGCATTTTAGCAAAGGTATTTCTTTCCTTTTTATATATAAGAAATATGTAACAGACAACTTAAAAATAGTTTTAAGGATTGAGTGGGCCCTGGCCAGTTTTGTTAAGTGGTTAGAGCATCAGCCCTTGGACCAAAGGGTTGTGGGTTTGATTCCCCATCAATGGCACATAACTGGGTTGCAGACTCAATCCCTGGTCCAGGTCAGGGTGCCAACAGGAGGCAACCAATTGAAATGTCTCTCTTGCAT